GCGGCGGCCTCGGAACCACCCCCTCCCTCGGTCCCTCCCGCACGGTGAACGCCTCCCACTCGCGGGCTCCAGGGCGTAGCTCGGCGCGCTACTGCGGGGCTCCTCGCCTCCCACGCCCACGCCCGAGACTGCAGACCGAGAGTGGTGGCCGGCGGACTCGACACTGCCCCCTGGCGGAGGAGTGTTTTACTAAGCTTCCCGGGGGAGAAGGCCTAGAGAGCCTCTCGCCCTTCATTCCAAGTCAAATGTTTTTTGGAACGTCTTGAGCAGAAACGCTTCACCTGTATTCCCTTTCATGCTTCACAGCAGCCCTCACACAAAACAAAAAGCAACCAAGCAAACAAACAAACCCAATACCTACTTTGTTGAGATATTATTTATATACTGTAAGTACCATAAATTTTAGGTACTGAGTGCAGCACAGAAAAGGGCTCATTTCCCCCGCTCTGGCCCAGGGGGAAGGTGCTGTCTGCCCCGCCCTCAGGCCCCCTGCTCCCTGGGGATCTTCGTCTCTAGTTGCCAAACTGAAGTCTTTACTGCTTTAATCTACATTTTAAATCAAAGTAATACTTGTGTACCTCTGAAAAAACTCAGATGGATACACAGATCTTACATGAGAGAGAGCAGCCTGGTATGAGAGCCTAAGCCTCAAGATGTAACCAAGTAACCCTGCGGCCTTCTCATCACTGGTCAGGGCCCAGCTTCCCTTCCTCTGGTCACCTCTCCTCTTTCATCTTCCTCCTCCTCATTGCCAACATCTGTAATCAGGACTAGACCCTGTAGGAAACCGGAAGACAGATGTGGAGCCTGTGCTGGAACCAGCTTCATTTCCTCCTTTCTCTGCCCTCTGCCTGCGTGGAGAGGGACAAAGTTCTCAGTTGGTACAGGCTCAGGAAGAGCTGAGGTCCTAGCCCAAGTCCTCCTGTGGTTTTCCTGGCTCACAAGTTACAGATCAGTTGTAGCAGCAGTGTTTCCCTTCTCAATGAGTAGCTGGGATGGGGTGTTGGCATGACCTGACTCTGCAACCAGCTAGATAGAGCAGGCTGATTCCTTTCTCTGTGCTCCAGCTTCTCCATCTGTAAAATGACACTGTGATCTCTAGAAAGCCACACAGCTCTAATGTCTTGGAGGTAAGTCACCTGAAAGAGCTTGGCTATCTCCAGCCAGGATGGCTCTGACCTGTGTCCCATGGACTGGCCATTGCCGTATCCTCCTGGCTCACTGTGCCCGGCTCAGGAACCTTTGGTGGTAGGGGGCATCCTGCCTGCTTTACCACTTCCTCAGCCTGCCTAACAAAGCAGCTTCTTCTCTTGGCCCCCAGGCAAAGGATGGGAGGAAGCTGCTGCGGCATCACAGGAGGGAGTTCTTGGACCTTGCCATTTGGATACACCATTTGATTCAAAGGACTCCCAAAGAAGATTTGAATAAAAACATTTAATTTAAATTACACGAATACTGATTAATTTTTGGACAAAATTTTCCAGAGTGAACTTCACTAAACCAACAATTACTTGTTCAGTTTTTAAAGTGTGTGTGTGTGTATATATATATATACACACACACACATACACACACACACTATTAATTTAATGGCCTACCTTAGTGGTTCTACTGTTCCTGTATGGCATGAAGTGCTCAGACATCAGGTGTGTCAGCCTTGGCTGTTACTTCCGAGGGTTTTGTTCTCCAGCTCATCTTCTCCCTACAGCAGGAAGGGAAGCCAGTAGATGTGAAAGTATGACTCTGAGTCAGACCTCTGTCTGCTTCCCTCAGCTGTGTGATCCTGCATCATTTGCTTAAAATTCCCTGAGCCTCAATTTTCTCACCTATAAAATGGGGATAAAAATAATACTTACCTGCCTCCCTTAGAAGAGCTGTTTATAGTTTATAAAAATAGTTATTACCATAAACCACAATAGCATTAAATATTCACTTGTGTAAAGCTCTTAATTCCCAGCATATAGTGGGAGCTCCAGAAAGGTTATTCTGTCATCACCATCACAGTTAATGAAACAAGCGCCATTTGCGTGCTCTGACCACTGGGTGGCACTGCAGATTTGGTTCTGTGACTGTTTTGGTCTCAAAGGCAAATCATGTTTGAACCTTTTAACAGTGTCATTTTTTGAAGGTCAAAATTAGTTGATTGGCAATAGGTTTATATAGTTCTACCTACATTTTGCAGTGCCACCTGTCTAGGGCTTTTCTTTTGGCTTTGTCTCAGCAAACCCTGCCCCATTCCAGGGACTCACCAGCTGAAGCCTTTAGGAAGGCTGTGTCTGGGCTGTGTCTATGATGGGGCCAGCCTGAGGCTGCTGCAGTACACTCAGTGCACAGCCAGGAGTCACCACTAGAGACTCGGGGGCAAGGGCCCATCCATACTGGGATGAGAGAGCTAGAAGGACAGTATCAGAGTTAAGGACAGAGCCAGAAACACAGAGAAACAGTAGGCTGGTGATCACAGGAATTTGATTTGTGGAAGCAGAGGTCTCCCATTTTCCTAGAGAACAGATTTCCTTGCTGAGCCCGGAAAACCACTTCCTAAGAAACTCAAAGGACACACCAAGCCCAGGTGACCCTGATCTCTGTCCCTTGCTTCCTGTTCCCTCACTCCCTCACGAGGGGTGCTGGCCTTGGGCCGAAGCATTGTGAAAGAAGTTGAGAAACAGATCTCAGATCATTAACAGAATTGACTGGTGACCCTAAGAAGTAGGACTGACTCATGTGAAGGCTGGGTGGGGCTCTGGGCCCCACAGCTCCCTGAGCCTGGGGATGGTCCTCAGGCAAAGAACCCACCTTGTCCACTTAAATCAAAGCAAAGCTTCATATTTGTTTTGGCTGGCAGAGATTCCCTTTGGGCCATTTTCTGTTCCTCTCTGACCAAAGGGGCCCTGGTTTTTCACATATAGATCAACTTGGATCTATTAGAGGAATAGGAGAACTTGATGAGTAGCTTTTTCACATTTGTACATCTAATTTTTTTCAAAGACAAGGGTTCAGATAAGAAAGTTTTTGTGTGTGTACGAAGAATTCAAGTAATTTTCTAAAAATGGCTATCTTCTGGAAATAGAATCATTTAATATTAGGAAATCTATCAATATAATTTACCATATTAATAGATCAAAAGATAATTATATGATTACTTCTATAAAGGCTGAAAAATTCAACAGTTTAATCTTGGTAGGAATAGGTATAGACTTCCTTAACATGATAAAATATATTTATCTCAATATCAAAGGCAGCATCGTGCTTAATAGGGACAAGCTCTCCAACTCACAGTCAGGAATATTGACACAGCATTGTAATCTGACTATAATGCAATTAAAAAAAAGTTTTATTGGTATAAATATGACGTCAAAAAAAAGTCAGGAACAAGAAAGATTTATCCATTTTTGCAGCTATTATTTAACATTTTTCTGAGAGTAGTGTCCATTTTTCTAGATGTGATTTGACAAGAGTAGAACATAGAGGTATGGAAGTCAGAAAGGAAGAAAAATTATTATTTCTAGGTGACATAATTTTATACCTGGAAAACCCAAAAGATTTGACTCAAAATAGACTAACCACCAAATGCTGGTGAGGATGTGGAGCAACAGGAATTCTCATTCATTGTTCATGGGAATGCAAAATAGCACAGCTACTTTGGAAGATAGTTTAGTGGTTCCTTAAAAAGCTAAACATACTCTTACCATATAATCCAGCAACTGTATTCCTTAGTGTTTACCCACATGAGTTGAAAACTTATGTCCACAGAAAAACCTGCTCACAAATGTTAATAGAAACTTTGTTCATAATTGCCAAAATGTGGTAGCCACGAAGATGCCCTTCAGTAGGTGAATGGATAAATAAACTGTTGTAAAGACAGACAATGGACTATTATTCAGCGCTAAAAAGAAATGAGCTATCAAACCACAAAAAGACTTGGAGGACACTTAAATGCATATTTCTAAGTGAAAGAAGCCAATCTAAAAGGTTACATACTGTAGCCAACTGTATGGTGATCCCAACTGCATAATATTCTGGAAAAGGCAAACTACAGAGACGGTAAATAGATCAGTGATTGCCAGGGGTTCATGAGGTGGGAGGGATGAATAGGTGGAGTACAGGGAACTATTCTGTATGTTACTACAGTGATGGAGACATGTCATTATGCATTTGTCAAAACACATAGCATGTGCAAAACAGAGAGTGAACTCTAATGTAAACTATGGATTTTGTTTGGTAATATGTCAATGTTGGTTCACTGATTGTAATAAATGTACCACTGTGATGTAGACCGCTAATGGTGAGGGAGCTTGAGTATGTGGTGGGGGAAGGCAAAGAGCAGGGGGTATGTGGGGACACTTTATATTTTCCATTTAACTTTGCTGTGAGCTTAAAACTGCTTTAAAAATAGCCTATTAATTAAAAAGAACATATTACAAACAGCAAAATAATAGAGTAAGATTTCTGATTTAAAATTAATATTCAGAAACTATAGATTTCACACAAACAACAACTACTTAGAAAAACTAATGGAAAAAATAATCTGTTTACGGTAAAACACAAAATGAAATAACAAGGAATAAATTTAATGAGATTTATGTAATATATGTATTAATAGAACTTTAAAATTCTACTAAGGGATACAAAAGATGATCTGAACAAATGCCACATTTTTAGAAAGTC